GGAGTTGATGGAAATGAGCAATTTGAAAATGGGCTATCTAAATTGGGGAGCGATAAGTTTACAAGCTTTCATGAGTGTGTGTCTCAAGATGAAGTGGGAAATGGGAAGATTCCCATTTAATAGTCCAATGGGTCTTGGAAAAGGAAGGCAAGGAGGATATTAGGCATGGGGAAAGGAAGGCAAGGATGATATTAGGCATGTATGATTCAGGTGTGTATGATGCTAACACGGTTAGCATGTACATAAGGGGTGATTAGAAGAATAAAAATAAAAAATAAAAAAATAAAAAAGAGTGGCCTATGCTAAGTGAAATTACTTCGCATGGCTCTTCTATACACAATCTTTGTCTCACTGCCATCGAGTGGTTCATTGTAATTCCCACCAAATGACTGGGTGAGCATGCAAAGTAGGTATCAAAAATTCAAACACAGGGATTGGTTAGTTTTGCTATTCCACTGCATATAAAATTGAGCCACCTCAGAAGCAGGTAGAGTCCTGTGCCCTTCACAAAAGCAGAACCATCAGCAGAGCACACAGAGCTCCCTATCTGAAGTGGTGGAGGCATACCTGACCTCTGCTTCATAGGTATCATCCTTGCACGGAGGTGGAGTTGGCTGCTTCACCTTTCCTCTAGAGTAGCCGGAGGTGGTCAGGGCTGTGCCCAGTGCCTTATCCTCACCCTCATACTCCCTAGATCGGGCTACTGAAAATGCACCAAAACAATGACCAATCCAGGAGAAATGCCCTCTTGCCCCCAAGTCCTCAGAGCATGAATCTTCAAATGCCATTTCCTACTCAAAAGAAATGACTCCTGGTTTGAGGTAAGAAATCATATGAAATCCTGAAACCTTTGTCACCTTTTGAGAAAGTTAAAGAAGCAACTCATTATTTCGAAAACGACTATATGGAAATTAAAAGCATTTATCTTTTCTTTCCTACTTGAGTTGTACTCCAGAGAAACCAAATAATAGATGAGGAAACTGTTCTAGTGAAGGGAAGACAATTAGAGTATTACAATTTTAAAACTCCTAGTGAATGAACAGATTCAGACATTAATTATCAATGGCTCCTAACATCACTGAAAAAACTAAACTCAAATGTATCTGCCTCATGGTTGAAATAGCACATGCTGTGGCATGAAGCAGTCTTGCCCCCCCAACATACACACACAAACAAAAAATCTAAATCTGATCAAATCTATCTTAGATCCAGATACCCAATGGCAGTAAAGGAAATTAGCGGAATACGTAAAAGACAGAGATGTGGTCAAGAAAATCTACCAAACTACCCAATTGCAAGAGCAAATAGAAGAGAAAAACTACTTGTAGGTGTAGAACTTATTTGAATCCTTAAACAAACTGCTTTTTAAAAAATTATGATACAAAACGGGAAATGTCAAGCCACCAAATGGAAAGATATATTTAAAAACCATATATATTTGAAAATAATCTAAGAGTTAAATATACAAATAAAAATCTCACAACTTAAAATCAAGAGACACATAACCCAATTATAAAATAGTTCAAAGGACTTAAGACATTTCACCAAGCTGTGTTATATATAACCAACCACCTCGTGGAATAAGGTTCCTTAATAAGGAGGTTTAGAGTTATGGTTTCATGGGAGATTCAATAGGCCAGCTAACTGACCTAATAATGTTTTAGACTTTCTATTTTACCTCTAGGAGCCCTGATGGTATAGTGGTTATGCATTTGGCTCAGATCCTCATGGTCAACAGTTCAAAACTACCAGCAGCTCCGTGGGGAAAAAGGACTGGGCTTTCTACTCCAGTAAACAGTCTCAGAAACAGAAATGGGGTCACTATGAGTCAGCACTGATTCCATGGCAGTGAGTTCGTTTTGTTTAGGGGGGTGCTTTCTACTTTTGGGTGGTGCTGTAGAGGAAGTGTTGGGCTGCTAACAGCAAGATTAGTGGTTCACACACAATAGCTGTTCCTCAAGATACAGTTGAGCTATCTGTTCCTATAAAGATTCAGCCTCAGAAAACCATTATAGGGTTGATACATCCTTACTGTGATGCTAGCTCTAAAATAAGGATTCAACAAATGTCTATTAAAGAAAATGTAGATGAAAAAAAAAACAAAAAAAGAAAATGTCGATGACAAAATACTGTAACCGATTGAGTTGTATTCCCCACAAGGTTTGTGTAAGTCTTAACCCTTGTTCCTATCAATATGACTGTTTGGCAACCGGTAGTTCTTCTGTTATGTCAATCAAGTGAGTGGAGTGGTTCCTAATCCTAATCATTTCTGAGTTGTGTCATGAAAACAACAGATGAAAAAAATTTTTTTTAAAGAAAACAACAGACGATAGAGGAGGATAAGATGGCTGGGGTCTGGAAGCTCAGGAACACCGAGGAGTGGCAGCAGACACCAGAGATGCCCACAGAAAGATCTGACAAGGCCAAGACCCTGATTTACACATTCAGCCTCCCAAACTGTGAGATTTTTTTAATGGTATTACTAGGTAATTAAGACACTCACACTAACCTGTATGTTCATCTGTTATTTTACTTTTATCTCCACAAAATGTAGGGTAAGGACTAGATATAATGGATTCAACCACTGGCCTATAACTTTAACGTAGCTGGGATGAGAAACTGGGTTCGATTCCCAACCCATCTTTGATAGAAAAGTTATCCATGCTTATTTACTCCACAGCCTAAGAAAATACATAATGTTATTGGTAATTCTTATAAACCAATGGTACTGAATCACAAAAATAATGATCTATTAAATAAAAATCAATGCAAGGCTGATTAAAACACAAGTGTTCTGCTAGAAAGATCTATTCACTAACGCAATGGCAACACTTGCCTTACCCTACTTCCCACAGTTCTTGAGTGCTTTTGGACCTGCGCTTCTCCCCTCCTGAATTAAACATCTCTTACACTAACTGCCTCTTCATTGCTAACTGATGTAATGATCCATGCAAAAAGGAGGCTTTTAATTGCTCTGGTGCTATTTCTCCTTTTAAAAAAATCATTTCATTGGGGGCTCATACAACTCATCACAATCCATCCATCCATCCTTTGTGTCAAGCATATTTGTACATTTGTTGCCATCATGCTATTTTTCCTTATATGCACTTGGACATTGCTTTAAGAGCTTAATCTAAGAACTGAGTGAACCATACACATCAACATAGCTTTTTTTCTCTAAGGTGACTTAGAAAATTAGGCCCCCAAATTAAATGGTCACGAATTCTTACCACATAATAAACATGCTGAAATAATCTGCTAGGTATAGACGGCTGAATTTGAAATCTGAGGCCTCTAATCTACTTCCTTTCTTTAAAAAAAAAGAAACTGAACTTGGAAGGAAAATGTTAATTGCCTAGAAGTTTACATGATAACTAGAATCGTCAATTCTCTAGATGTTCCTGCCTCCCAAAGTAAAACTAAGTGTACTGCACATTATACAGTGTTCAAATCTTTGGAAGCAAACATTAGCATTTTCAAATGTGAAGACAGGTTCTGAAAATGAAATCATTCATTACCTCTGCTACATATCTTTACTATTACTGAATACTACAAAACTAAGTCCCACAACTAAAATTTTAATGTAGGATTATATGAATTGCACATGTCACATTTTTATAAAAATTTTAACAAAAATACAAGTTCATGAAAAAATTCCACTAGCTTTTCACTCAATTTTCCCACAGACTTTTTGAAGTCCCCTTCATATATCATTACTGCTGCAAACTAAATTCAAACCAGTGACCTATAGGTCAACCATCCAAAATTCATTAGCTATTATCAATTCCCCAAGCTACCTGGTGCACAGAGGGCTGACCTCACTTGTGTAATGACAATAAATTTTTCAAAGGTAAGTTTAAAAAATTAAGATGGAATGATCATTTGTTTGGAAAAATTTTTAAAGAGGAATTCTCAGTAGTTCACACAATTTAAGTTATAGTGTTAAGAAACAAATAGCTTTAATAAAACAAAACTAAACCAGGTAGTAAATGAGAGAGGCTTCAAAAAAAGGTTTCGCAGAAACATTTTATTATCGTTTAATTACATTCTGAAGTACCCTTAAATGCACTCCAAAAAAGTACTACCTCCAGGAAAAGTGTCACAAATATGCTGTTCTGGAATGTATACAGAGCTTAGCAACCACGTTTAAAGTCTCATTTGCAGATATCACTTCCTACCCATCTACCCCACGAGATCTAAAGATCGCTAAGGATTTAAGGGACCAACTTCTTACCAGTCTTTGCCACTGGAAAAAAAAAAATCATGTGATCATCAGCACCATTTGACTAAGTGAATCATCCAATAAAAAACCACCACACTCTACTATCTTGCTCTTAGACATTTTCTTATTAATTCTGCTAGAAGCCAGGGGTACTCATAGTCCTGACTCTTGAGAATTCACTTTTCCATGATAAAAATTCAACCATCTACAAGTTGCTAGAACATAGATGCCAAGTCGGAGGGGGCTTAGTAATGACTTCCTTCTCCTTCCCTCATTATTCGTGCCAGGTGATTGCGGTAAGTCCTATTAGAGTTTGTAGCTCCCTCGATGGCAGGACAGAGAAGGCAATGGATCTGATGGAAACACTTCTTCCACTATGGGAAATAACGGAAAGCTCAGAAACGCCTGCTGCCCATGCCAGGAGAAACAGGAAAAGGAGAACGACTTTAAGAAGGCATCCCTGAAATTGGTACCTCTGGGGGATGACGCACACGAACACCCTGATCGTGGAAATCGAGGTACTGAATCGGGTAAAATGCCCTGGCAACCTCGCGGAGGAGGGACTCGGCAGTGCGAAACCAAGATACCGCACCAGGCCCCTCAAGGGCGACCTGGGGGCTGAGCGGACAGTGACAGCTTCGGGTGCCCCCAAGGGCGGAGCCCTGCTCCGGTCACCGCGATGGGTGCGGGTGAGACTGGCCCAGTCACCCGCGAAGGCACAGCCCGGGCCGCGCTTCCACGGTCGGGAAGAGGCCCGGGAGCGACCGGGCCGGCTCACCTTTAAAGAAACGCAACGCCAGGCCGTACAGCTCCTCCAGCTCGAAGCCCCAGTGCAGCTCCAGCCGCCGCGCCTCCGCCGCCGCGCCCCCAGCCGCCGCCTCCCCGGGCTCCCGCGGATCCCCTGCAGCGCCCGGGCCCCGGCCGGCTCCCCGAGGGGAAGGCGGCGGCCGTGGCGGGGGCAGCAGCGGAGCACCTTCCGCCCTAGGCCGCTCTTCAGGGTCTGGGCTTAGCGTGAGGCCGTCCACAGAGACCTCGAGTCGCTCCGTGTTCAACACCGCCGCCATCTCCGGCTACTGCGCCTCCTCAGCGGGGACTGGCGGCGGCCACGTATCGACTTCCTGCTGACCTCTGACCTCCACTCACCGACACCGGAACTTCCGCTGCTGAGGACGCTGGCGGGCTCCGGGAAAGGCGCTGGGGCCCCGCCCACTCCCCGACCGGTCCCGCTCGGAGCTCTCCGTGCAGTCCCCGCCCACCCGCGACCTTGCTTTCTCCTGATTGGCCGCGGTTGCACCTCCCTCCCTCAGTCCGGCCGCCCTCGTCGCTCCTTTCGGCCTGGAATTGGCCGTGACTGGCAGGGTCCACTTGGGGTCTGGGCAGCGGCCTGGAATTGGCCGGGACTGGCAGGGTCCACTTGGGGTCTGGGCAGCATTGGCCGTGACTGGCAGGGTCCACTTGGGGTCTGGGCAGCGGGGAGAACTGTGCTCTAGACAAGCGCCCTAAGGTTCAGGTGGGATTGTTTGTTCTCCTCTGCATCTTTGAAGAAATGCAGTGTAACTACTATATTTTTTCAGAGGAAACAGGCTTCCGCGTAAGTCGTTGGCTGCTCTGAGATGGTTGTACGCAGGAGCGGATCCTAGTGTTGCAATAACTGAAGCTCTTACAATTTGTGGGGCCCTTAAGAGCTGAAAGTTAGATAGGATAGTGAGTGTATCTAAATCACTAGTGACTTTTTAAAAAATCATTTTATTGGGGGCTCGTACAATAATCATCCATACATCCACTGTGTCAAGCACATTTGTACATTTGTTACCATCATCATTCTCAAAGCATTTGCTTTCTACTTGAGCCCTTGGCATCAGCTCCTCATTTTCCCCTTCCCTCCTGTTCCCCCCTCCCTCACGAACCCTTCATAATTTACAAGTCATTATTATTTTGTCATGTCTTACACTGTCCAGCGTCTCCATTCGCCCACTTTTCTGTTGTCCATCCCCCAGGGAGGAGGTTATATGTAGATCCTTGTAATCGGTCCCCCCTTTCTATCCCACCTTCCCACCACCCTCCCAGTATCACCACTCTCACCACTGGTCCTGAGGGATCATCCATCCTGTATTCCCTGTTTCCAGTTCCCACCAGTGACATTTTAAAACATCTTCCAGAAAAACAGTCTAACCACCTTGCTAATATGTTTGAAAGTTAAAATCCATAAACAGCATACACACAAAACTATAAAGTTTTATTAACTTCCTGATACAAGGTGTTTATAGTCTGAAAGCATAATTTTTGTATTGCATATTGTAAGGTAGTCGAGAGGCGCCCAAAACCAAATCAGGCGAATTAGAACAAACACGCTTTATTGGGGAGAAAAACCCAGCCTGGGCGAAGTTCCACGGTCCATAGTATTTGGGCCAGGGAGTCGTGCCCCAGGCTACAGAGGTGGTTCTTATATGGCCAGGGAACATGTGACTGGGCTGTCTTGAGTCCATGTAACGTAAAGTAGTCAGGGATTGGGAGATACAGGTATGTCCAGGTTTCTGGAATGTAAGGTGTCTTCCTGGTTCTGGGTGTATTCCTGATGGATGCAGAGCGGTGGTCCGAGAACAAAGTGGGCACTGAGCCAAACGGGCCATGCCGGGTGCAGAGTAGCGGGTGGAGAATAAAGAAGGCCATTAGCCTGCTCTGGTCAGCTCCACAAGTGTGTGTGTGAGATTCAAGGTCACTCGCTGCTAGTTGTTTCAGCTAGCTCTGGTCAGCTCCGCACAGGTGGGGGAGACTCAAGGTCACTTGCTGCTAAATATGGTGACCAGACGTCCTGCTTTTGGCCGGACAGTCATGATTTTTGGTGTTTTAAAAAAGTTCCAATTTTTGGAAAGAATGTACGACAAGCTAGGGAACGGTCTATTTGGTTCATATAGACGAAATTTTTAAACAAGAACATCACACACACACACACACACACACACACACACACACACACCCCGCCTCCACCATCAATGGTGTCCTGCTTTAAATCTGTTCACCTTATGCTAGAAGTCTGCCTGGTATTGATCCGGCCATACACATATGTTTTAAATATTAAAGATGTCCCAGTGACATTATTTGTATTGATCTGTGCTTCCAGAGTTTATGGACTTACTTTATAATAACAGTTGTGGCTGCATATTTGCATCACCTATCCCAATACAATTATTTTGTAATATTTTCCATGAAGGAAACAGATTGGTCTTTTATCTAAGATGGTTGATCAAAATTTGTTTCTATTATTAATTGTTAATAAATTTATTTCTTATGGTGCACTTATTTTTCCTGTTTCACAAACCATTACTGATAGTATCATGGTTAGGGTTTTTGTCAAATTTGGGAAACTTCTCATATAAAATTTACAGCCTAGCATATCCACAGGGCAATTTTTCCTTGTTGTGTAAGGTCGGCTAAGAGTCAGAATCAACTCCATGGTAGTGAAGTGGGTTTGCTGGTTTGGTAGTAGCGTCCACGACAATTTGGCATGTGGTTTTTACGGAAACCAGGAGAAATTTTCATGCTACATTAAGGCATCATCTGACTTATTGGGATCAGTAAAACATTTGACTTCCTTTACAGACTCATTGGAATGCTACTACAAGTTTGTAACTTGTAAACAGGAATTTTCATATAAACCAGTGTGCGTGATTTCCATCAAAACCAAAAAATATAGTGCATTTATAATTGTATATGTGGCATTTCTTACAATCTGTGATGAGTTAGAACTTCTGTTTTAATTAAGCATTGAGAAAAATTATCTCTCCACTTATAATTTTCTTTCTTTTTTTTTTTAATCATTAGCTTTTATTTATTTATTTTTTTTTTTTTTTTAAAGGTTTTGGTATATTTTCTTTTTTTTTTTTTTCTTTTTCTTTTTTAACATTTTATTAGGGGCTCATACAACTGTTATCCCAATCCATACACATATCAATTGTGTAAAGCGCATTTGTACATCGTTTCTCAAAACATTTTCTCTCCATTTAAACCCCCGACATTAGGTCCTCATTTTTCCCCTCCTTCCCCGCTCCCCCCTCCCAAGACATAAATGTTTTACCTTGTGTCTAGCTCAATGCCATTCCTTTATCAATACTTGTTTTTTTATTTTAATTTTTAATTAAAAGATCATTTTATTGGGGGCTCGTATAGCTCTTATAATAATCAATTGTATCAAGCATATTTGTACAGATGTTGCCATTATTTTCTAAGCATTTACTTTCTATTTGAGCCCTTGGTATCAACTCCTCTTTTTTCCCCTCCCTCCGCCACCCTTCCTTCCTCATGACCCCTTGATAAATTCTTCTTCTCCTCATATCTAACACCAACTGCTGTCTCCCCATGATTTCTGCTGTTCATCCCCCTGGGTATGTGTGTGGGGGTGTGGTTATGTGTCCATCATTGTGATCTGATTGGTTCCCCCTTCCTCCTTTCCTCTCCCCACCTTCCCCCTGGTATGCAACTCCCATTCTGGTTCCTGGATTCCGTGTGAATAATTGTTAAAAGTAAAAATGAAATGGTAAATATCACACTACTTTTGTTTTCCAAATATCTACAATAAGCATTTCACTTGAAATTTGGGGGAATTGTTTTTTAAATGATAAATATTAAAACCTATAGAATATAACTGGAAAGGTGGATAGTTAAAACATAATAAGAAATTAATCATTATTGATGTTATTTGATGGTTTTGGAACTTAGCATATGGAATATTCTTGATGAACCTGAATATCTAGATCAAATATCAGACACTGTAATAGAATCATCAGGGAGTGGTTTTTTTTTCTCCCCAAAACCATTTTATTGGAAGCTAATATCGTTCCATAGTTCAATCATACCAAGTACAATTGTACAATTGCTACCACAATCAGTTTCCAAAATATCCTCTTCCTCCTTGAACTCCTCGACTTCAGCTCCCTTTTACAACCCCCCATACAACCACCCCACTCTCCCACCTCTGTACCAAGGAACCCCCACTCCACTCTCTCTATAGGTTCATCAGTCCTGGGCTAGGCACTGTTATAATGTTACTTGTCAGTTTGGCTAGGCCATTGCTTTTCAATATTGTGTGGTTGTTTTCTCTGTAATGATCTGATATAATTATTCTCCATTTTGTGATCTCATTTTCCTATTGTAATTCCTAGATGTTAATGAGTCATTAGTGTAGGGTAGATCTTGAGTCCTGGCTTTGACTATAAGTCACAACCTTACTCAAGTCACACTCTTCCTCTGATCTAAGAGACGTTCCCTGGAGGATGGGGCCTAGATCCATGAGATAGCTATATCAGTTCTCTGGCAAGGCTCTCCCAGGCTTGGATCGTGTATGGAGATTGTCATTGTCTGATCTGCAGTTCTTGGGGTTTGAACTAGCGGTCTACTGCCTTGCCTGCCAATTCTGGGATTTGTCAACTTGTGGAGACCTGTGAGCCAGTAGGCTGCCATCTGACATGCTGCTTTGGAGATTATCTAGCTTCTGTAGCCCCAAAAGCCAACAGTCTGTTTCCTGATCTGCTTATTGGACCTCAAGCCTAAATCACAGGTTTAGGATTTGCCAGCCTCTACAACATTTCTTTGAGATAAAGAGTGTGTGTGTGTGTGTGTGTGTGTGTGTGTGTGTGTGTGTTTATCATTGGCTTTGCTTCTGTAGAGATCTAAGACAAGAAGTACTGACTACAGTGGTTATTTTTCATGACCTGAGAAAGACTAGAGAATATAACTCCTTGTAAGAACTGATTGTGCTAAATGAGGTCCAGACCCGCACTATAGTAGAGTTTGGCTTTTAGCCTGTATAGGATTCACCTGAGGAACTTAGTAAACTACAGATTCTGGTGCCGTAGGTCTGGAAGGGATCCCTAAGAGTCTGAAATTCTGATGAGCTTTCTAGTGATGCTAATGCTCTGTCTGTAGACCACATTTTGAGTAACATGAGTCTAGAAACGTTTTCATAGCTTGTTGTTTTAAATTGCCATTGTGTTGTCCTGGTAGACTAGAAAAACAAATCCAGACACTCATGTGTGTAACAGAGCATTTTACATCAAAAAGTAATTGTATACTAAGAAAACATTCCAGCCCAGTCCA